TTTAAAGTCAACCAGTTTCAAACAAGCGTATCAAAGACACATGCACGTGACGTGTAGTCGAACATACGTGCGTTTGCTACCCCGCCCAGGGCGTCGCGGGCCGGCAAGACAGTGAAGTATTCCCAGTCTCCGGGAATCGACACTGAAACATCTGACTGTTTTTACGTTTTAGCCTGGAGCAAAACATGGGCCGGGACTCTGCAAGGGTGTTCTCCCTTTGTTGAGAGAATTCATATTGATATTGAGGAAACTGCTTGCAGCATATGGCGATTGAAATAAAAATCCGTTTTGTGAATTGTGAAAATATAATATGAATAATAATAGGTCTAATACAAAGAAGTTATAATGCAATGTAAATGTACGTTCGCTGTGTGCTCAATTAGTTATACTCACGCTTACATTGATGCGACACGACAGAAACTAGGGTACCAGGTGTTCGTCGCTGTGTAAAAACTATCTGCAATCTAATTCGACGTAGACTTACCTGATCAAGAGCCAGTTTTAGTTCGACAGACTGCTGTGTTCCAGCCAAAACAAGATCCCTACTCGAATCATGCATGGCAAGGTCATTGACAAAAATAGTTGTACGAAACATCGCGTCCAAATTTGGCATTCTAATAAAAAAATATTAAATAATATTATTGCAACAATAGGCACATTTTGCAACATATTCATTTACTGCGACATGCGCAGAAGGCGTGCATTACATGATATAAACAAAATGTAACGGATTAAATTATACTCACAGAGGAGTGGCTAGGTATATCATGCAGTTCCAATGTGTCATGTATTTCATTTGACCTCTCAGAAAAAGTCTTCGCGGACGCATGTTCGTTTCATCCATATCACTATCAGTGTCTATAGAGAAGGACAAAGCAAACAAAACGATAAAGGCGTTACGTTTTCGACATTGTGAAATTCTTTCGTTTTTATGCAGAAAAGCTACAGTCATTCTACCAAGTAAAATCATATTTATTAAAGTTATTGTTATACATGAGTTATTGAGCATACTACATAATTTTTAATTTTATTCAGCTTCTTTCAGTCATAATTCAAGACAAATAAAATGCATAATTATGGAGAATATAGCGAATTATCTTGTGTTTCTGAAATATTTCTGTGTAATCGGTATCTATGAAAATTATCATTGGTGCGCATATAAAATTCAATGTTATGAAATATTCTTAAGATATTTCTGAAATTTCTTGTCAGAATAGTAGTTTACAGATGCCAGTGCCCCCCCAAAAAAACCCGAAAGAATGTCACAATGTCGAAAACGGTAAGCCTTTTTTTTAATCGTAGTGTTATAATTTCTTAAACAACCGTGTAGGATATACATTAATGAAATATAACATTCTTTAGTTTTTACAGAAAATCTCCCTACTTCTCCAGGCTGCCTAGTACTTAGAACGCCTGCTCTCTATGGTTGCGAAACAAACTTGAATATATTTTGATCTGTGGTCGTCGATAAAAAAACAAAAACAAACTACCAGTATATTATAAATGAGTAATGACTTCACAAAGAAACAGTTATCAGTTGATTTGTGCGACATCGCTTTCACGAACCTTTTTGACGTCACATAAGACGTCACAAAGAGTGCGTTTCGTGATGTCCTCATACGAGGTGTGTCGGTCTCATTGTCAGTTTTTTTTCTGTCTATTATTGAACATTGAGAGGCGGTGTTCGTCGCGCCGCGTATGTACCACGTGTGTGCCGATAAACATTGATTTCCCCCACAATCCAATGCGCACACATTTTGACCCGGCGCAATGTGCACTAATTACCGTTGTTGACTCCTTCGATGCCTTCAAATCACCAAGGCAATTGCCTAGTTAAAGCTCGGTAACGTTCCAGTTTGCTGGTCTGCAAAACAATCAAAGTCGCCATCTTTGTTCATATGAGACCCATATCTCGCGCATGCGTGGCGCGACGAGTACCGCTCCTTAAGAGGACTTTCTGGGCTTCTCTCCAGGTTTCTGAAAACTAAGATTGCCAGGGAATTGAAACAATGAGCGAATATCCTTCGGGTCATTATATAACTCAAATTCTCAATTGCAACTTTACCTACCTGGTTTTGTAATTGTTTTCTCGGCGATAGCCTCAAAAGCCAGTAGTTCAGAGTTGACGTCATAGTTTGGTCTGGTGTCTCTAGTCGTCAAACTTGAACTTCTCGCTCCTTCCTTTCTCGGAGTCGACCCAGTTCTACCCTGGTGCGATGCTGAGGTGTATCGGTACATTTTACTATCGGACTGCACTCTCTGTTTTGATGCGAGCTCGAAAACGTTGTTCGTGTGAACAATGAACTAGAACGAGAATATAAAAATGAATCATCCAGACCCATAGAATAGAATTGACTTTGTACATCACCCCCAGGGCAATGTCGTGAATGTCAGGTCGTGGTAAATTGCACAATGTGACACGGTAGCGCCCAGTGATTAGGTCCGTAATTACATGTCAATCATATCGTACCGCGGCTCTTTCATGTGTTCTAACGTGAGATTAGAGTCCTTGCAATAATTGAAATATACATGTACTTAGATGATGCGCGGCTACGATGACCTGCTATCAAACTCTCAACTTGTGCATTTTGAACAAATCACTGAGCTAGCAACTGCTGTTACACTCATATTTAGGGTTAGGTTTGAGAAATGTAAATGAAACAGGAAATACTCAATTTAAGTGGATTGCTGACTATAATGTGACATTTTTAATGATCACATTAAGATACACTATAGAGGACCTCTAACGAAATTGCGATAATAGAACAGTGCGCCCTCGCCGGTGGACCCCGCCATAAACGTTCGTCCGCAGTGATTAAGGCCCACTGTGTCAGGGTGGGTGATGACAGTTGTAACACATTTAGCGTAATGCACATATCAGAGTGTTTTATCAAAGGAGAGAGTACTAACATGGGAATTTGACATTTTGTTTTCAGCCATGTAAAATACTCCACCCACAAGATAACAGATATTCAAGGTTGGTAGGAAATCAGAGACAGACATCTGTTCATTTTAAATATCAGAACTGTTCAACCTGCGGTAAATTTACCATAGTTTTATTACCGTAAGGCGTTTATCACGTGATCCACAATAAAATATAATAGTTTCTCTATAACTGTTTCAGTTGCCATGACAAAAATGATCGTAACTGTATTGCAATTCACTCTGTAACAATAAGCAATAATGAGAGATTGAATGGAAATCTACTATATTTAATGAACCACATCCATGATCATATGTTTTTTAATTATACACCTCATAATTATTTATGTTTTGGCGTATTTTTAGCAAAAACGAGACATTACGAGACATTAAACATTTCACAAAGCACACGGCACCCTCGCCGGACAGCTCGTGTCAAAACGTTGTAAATACGTTACGGAGTGTCTGGGGGTATCATCGTTCGAAAACGTGGAGCCAGTTGTGCCGTTGGGTGTGAGGTAAATTATCTCGCCTGATAGGCTACACTGACACTTTATATATATTGGATGAATCGATCCAAAGAACGCACACAAGAGGTTATTCACAGAGGGACAGGTTCATTACTAAACAACTCCATCTATGCGGGCGGGTTGTCAACTCAATCACCTCGTTCCCCTTACATTTCTATACCCCCCGTATATACTCGTAGCAACCGGTCAATTATCAACCAATGACTAAAGTCACTAACGTGGGAAAGCTTTGTACAGTCGTGATAAATGACAGACGATAAGTCTTAGTACTAGTAATTTAGATGCTGATTAGTTTATATAGTTCAAAAAGGTTAAAACTAAATCCTTAGGAAAAATGTGTATGGTTAAACCTAATATCCATGGTAACATCTCTGAATTGTATTTCCCAGTGAATGATAAAACTATCCTACCACAAACAACGCGCCTACTGCTAGTAAATAAGTCAGTAGTAGTAGTCAAAATGGAAGTATGCTTTCATTGATATTTTACCTTTGGAAATTATGTATAATTACAGTTACCATAGAAAAAAAACATTACCAATTACAGAAAAGAACCATGGGTATATTCCAATGAGCTGCCTTGTCTGCTTTCCCAAATAGAAAGCATGGTACCTTTAACCACATCGACATTGCAAAAATACGCAATGCAGAATATTATATATTGATCGGCGTATAATTTTAGCGTAATATTTGGTGGTGAGATCTACGGGGCATATTCGAGTAATTCACGTTTACACATTTCATTCTACATATTGTCAACGGAATACTCCATAGGAACTATATGATACAGTGTCACCATACTGGACGCAGCGTCGTAATACTGGACGCAGCGTCGTAATACTGGACAGCAGTGTCACCATGCTGGACGCTGTGTTGCCATGCTGGACGCAGTTTCGCCATACTGGACGCAGTTTCGCCATACTGGACGCAGTGTCGCCATACTGGACGCAGTGTCGTCATACTGAACGCACTTTCGCCATACTGGACGCAGTGTCGTCATACTGGACGCAGCGTCGCCATACTGGACGCAGTGTCGCCATGCTGGACGCTGTGTTGCCATGCTGGACGCAGTGTCGCCATACTGGACGCAGTGTCGCCTTGCTGGACGCAGTGTCGCCATGCTGGACGCAGTATCGCCATGCTGGACGCAGTGTCGTCATACTGGACGCAGGGTCGCCATGCTGGACGCTGTGTCGCCATACTGGACGCAGTGTCGCCACACTGGACGCAGTGTCGCCATGCTGGACGCTGTGTTGCCATACTGGACGCAGTTTCGCCATACTGGACGCAGTGTCGCCATACTGGACTTAGTTTCGCCATACTGGACGCAGTGTCGCCATACTGGACGTAGCGTCGTAATACTGGACAGAAGTGTCGCCATACTGGACACAGTGTCGCCATACTGGACGCAGTTTCGCCATACTGGACGCAGTGTCGCCATACTGGACGCAGTGTCGTCATACTAGACGCAGTTTCGCCATACTGGACGCAGTTTCGCCATACTGGACGTAGTGTCGTCATACTGGACGCACCGTCGCCATACTGGACGCAGTGTCGCCATGCTGGACGCTGTGTTGCCATGCTGGACGCAGTGTCGCCATACTGGACGCAGTGTCGCCTTGCTGGACGCAGTGTCGCCATGCTGGACGCAGTGTCGCCATGCTGGACGCAGTGTCGTCATGCTGGACGCAGTGTCGCCATACTGGACACAGTGTCGCCATGCTGGACGCTGTGTTGCCATGCTGGACGCAGTTTCGCCACACTGATCGCAGTTTCGCCATACTGGACGCAGTTCGCCATACTGGACGCAGCGTCGTAATACTGGACAGCAGTATCGCCATACTGGACACAGTGTCGCCTTGCTGGACGCAGTTTCGCCATGGTGGACGCAGTGTCGCCATG